ACCGGTGCTGAATGTGGTTTCTCATTGCTGCAGATGATCTGTTATATTCCAGTTTATCTGCTCTGTACTTCAAGATGTCTCTGTCCACTGTGTTGGTTAACATCCGGGCAGTAGAGCTGAGAGAACTGGTCCAATAAACGAAGCTACAGCTCCGTCTAATAGTGGTTGGCTTGATAGTTTTCATTGATAAAATCAGAATATGCCTACAAACTTGTTGTTACTAAAATACATTTGAATACATTTCCAAGTAACTTGATTCTATTTAATATGTATACCACTCGCATCAAAGGCTTTGTCGCTTGACAATTGGATCATATATCAGTAGGGTCAAGTGGGAGGAACATGTTTGGTACTTCAGTATATTGTGATATTGAGCGAGGATGTTTAAAAATGATTTTATAAAATATGCACCTTACTGTGCATCTGGTGGAGTGACAAGAAGATGCCTTGTGCCTGATCCTCATTGAGTGCATTGGTAATAAGTCCCTCCTGACAGATGATTAATGTGACTTTGTTTTCCATATTTCTGTCCGGTAGCAATCAGACTGCAATATTTAACACAACCAGTGTTTAGCTTGATCTGCAGACATGACTGAAACACGGCTAAATCTACTACGACTTGACCTTTTTCAATAAATCCAATCACAGTGTAGAGATGGTTTGTATCTGTCTCTTATTACGTCAGGTGGAGTTTCCTGAAGCGCGCATCTACGAGGAGACTTTGAACACGTTGCTTTATGAGACGATGCCGCTGCCTGACAACTCGCTGCTCGAGGCGACCAGACGGAGCTACAACAACTGTGGCTCCCTCAGCGAGGAAGAAGAGGGGCCCGGAGGATCCGAGCTCAGAGAGCGAGTCCGTCGAATCCACGTCAAGAGGTACAGCACGTACGACGACCGGCAACTCGGACACTGAGACTGAAGACGCTGCACAGACTTCAGCTTTTCACATCGAGGACGAACATTCAAACATGAAACCTGGTGATGCTCAGACGTTTCTCCTGTGAATGTTTCTCTAAGTTACTTTCTTACCACTATCTAAAGGTTTCAACTGTGGCCTAATAGGTTTTAAATCTGACTCTTATCCCAGATAGCTGTGATGTCATCTGCTCTGTCTATAAAACTTTATGAATTATAAAATAATTCAGAGCAAATTCTTCAAATATTCATTATTTGCGGAACATTTTTATTCTAACATGTAGACTAGTAGTAGAGGGTAAATCACTAGTATGCACTATTTCTTGGATGAAATATTGTAACAATCAAAGCACTTCCACTCTTAATCGGCAGGAGAGCATGTTTTATATTTATAAATTATATTTTTCATACACATTATAACAACATTTACTACAGCCAGTCTGCCAAAGATGAACCTGTTTTAGGTTTTTTCCCCACAATCAGTGTGTCTCTTTTAATCCAGTTTACCATGATGCCTTTCTCCACTTGAGAAGATAAAAGTTCTTGTTATTCAACACTTTTCTGTCCTGAATCTTTATTCTTTTATTTGTGTTGAAGCTCACTTCCTTCCCCCTAAGGTTGTCAAAAGTCTTGATACTCCGATACTCTTCAATACCACATGTTTTAAAACAATGCAATCTCTGTTATAAACGAAGTAAACTGCCAAAGCTTAAAAAGGAAACCAATCAGATCTGCAGAAGCAAAAGAGAGAGAGTACTGTCTGAGTTGCACAGTCGTGTTGTTGTCAACATATTTGTGCCATTTAGACAGTGTGCACGAGTTCGCCTGCTATTTTTGCTGATCTAAAACGAGATTTCAAAATATTGCATGTCTAGGACTTGTACTTTTGTTGCCATGGTATTAAAACAGATATCGTCATTGTGCGATTTTTAACGTATCGAAGTTTGAAATTCTCTTATCATGACAACCCTATTTCCACCAAAGTGATAAAAAAAAAGACTGATTGTCTTAAAATAATAAATGTTTATGTATCTCTAGGTAGGACATCTTGCTTCTTCAAAAAACTACCTGATGGGGTGCTGGTGGCGCAGTGGTTAGTGTGCGCGTGCCCCATGTATGGAGGCTGTAGTCCTTCAAGCAGGCGACCCGGGTTCAAATCCAACTTGTGGCTCCTTTCCACATGTCATTCCCCACTCTCTCTCTCTCTCTGATTTCCAATTCTATACACTGTTCAATCTCTCCAATGAAGGCCGAAAACACCCCCAAAAAAACGTTCTGATTCAGTAACTAAACACAATGCAGGGATAACAGACTCCAGCACTGTCAATGAAGACTTGAATATAATAAATACATTTAAGGCTCTCGCTTTAACATTGGGTTCTTTACAACACTAATTCTGTCATTGACAACCAGCTGCTTTCAAATACAGTGTATCTAAGTTCACAGTCTATGTCAGCATATCTATAATGCTTCATTATTTATTCAGCATTTTTTGTTCAGACATTGATTGTTCTGAACATGTGTAAGCCACACGAATGAAAGAGACTTAGGTTTATATATACCTAGGAGCAATTTCAAATCTGAATTTGAAAACAATACAATGAGTAAAGTAGAGATAATGAAGAAAACGTACGTAAAGAATGAAAATAAGCAATCGATAAAAGCATCAAATTGGAAAACAAAAAGCAGCTTATTTTAAGAAGTAGAAGTTAAAGAAAACTATATATTAAGTGTTAAAATATTTTCAACTTCTTAATCATTTTTTTAACTATATGTCTATCTTTCTTTTGCAGATGTTTACTTTTTTTATAGCCCATGACTATATTACAGAACGGCTGAGGATATTATCTAACTTATGCACACAAGATTTATTTTTTAACTTTTTGGAATTTCATATATTAACCATTTATTTAATTTCAAATACAAATCATCATGCAAATTTTAAAGGGAAAGCTTTGCTGAATAAAATGGTGTCTGATGGCTGCAGTTACACCCTCAGCCCACATGGGGGCACCAGCAGCAGGTGTAATGAAGGTGACTCGATCCAAATCAGTTTGCTCTTTAGATCACGTTGTGTGACGTCATGTATCTGCAGCCGGCCTGCCTGGCATAGTCACAGAGGATGACCACAGTGTGCTTCACAGTGATTATTTATAGAAACATCACGGATGAGCTGCAGTCCCTCCTGAGTGTTGGTGCCACCCTGGCAAGCTTGTGAATGAAGTCATTAAATGAGCTGCATCATAATTAGCTAATTAAATGCATTGCAAGTTTCTTCCCTTATAAGCACTGAAGAGTTACCTGCTCTAAAAATAGGGGAGACTGGGGTTGGATGTCACACTCATTTTTCCCACAGAAATTGTTCATCATCATCCGTCTTTAACAAAGTCATTTCTGCATTAAAGGGAAGATTAAAGCAACAATATGTCATGTTTCCACCTTTAAATAGTAGTTTCAGTAGTTGCGCCTGGTCACCTGTTTTCAGCACTATGTAACTTTTGATGCTGCACACGGTTGTCTCCTGAGAAGTGCGTACAGCTTCATGGTACTAGTACACACAGCAGCCCGTCTCTGTACACAGAGTCGTCTCTCAACTGGAAGGTCAGGGGTTCGATCCCCAGCTCCTGCAGCCACATGTTGATGTGTCCTTGGGCAAGACACTTCACCCCTAGTTGCTCTTGCTGCTACGTTGGCAGCGAGTGAAAGTGTATGAATAGATTATTAAATGCTGATGGACACTTTACATAGTAACCTCTGCCATCAGTGTGTGAATGTGTGGGTGTGACATGCGGTGTAAAAAGCGCGTTGAGTCGTCAGAATACTAGATAAGCGCTTTACAAGCTCAAGTCCATTACTGTTCCTTTTTGATAACAACAGCTGAGAGACTAAAAAGGACGGTGACGGATGAAGCCTTAAAGAGAAGTGACCTAGCAGGAAGCTGATCTGGAGTAAATATTGGACAGGCTTTTACACGTTGGTGAGAGCTTTTTGAAACAGTAAGCTGCAAGTCTGACATGTTCACATCCGAAGCTGGCTATGTTGATAGACTCTGTGTGTTTTACGATAGACCATTTGTACTCAGAGCTTTGGTGAAAACAAAAAAATCATCCACCATGGAGACCAAATCTTATTTTTGAACCAGTCTGTAAACATATTTATTTCTGATTCAGGATCTAATGGGGATTAAAGTGGACACTTGAGGAACTGCAGTTTTTTTGCACTTCCAACTTGGCTTCATTAAGAAGTGGTTGGAAAATAAATGGTTATCCAGGTCAACAGTTAACCAGTTTATATTTTAGTCCAATTCAGATGTAGGCTAAGTAAAGAGTGTACCTCAGTATTACCCATAGCATGAAATAGGCTACCATTTGTGGTTATAGCATACTGGAGTCAGGCACCATCAACACAAACACAGCAGATAAGTTGAGCTCAGTGACTGAATTAGCTGAGGTAGCAGACAGCTAGCATATCCACCTGTTCCTTTATATACATTTGAGCCTTTATTTGAGTATTAGAAGTTACACCACGTTCAGTTGTGATGTAAGAGAAATGAGTTCACAGCCAAAAGCATATTAGTCTGTAAACATGTCACCCTCTGCTATAAAGGTGGGTATTTAACATTGGAGTGAATGGGGATTGGCTCACTGTTATAGTCCCTCTCAAGTGGCCACTCAGGGAACTGCAGATTTTGGATATACTTGAATATTTGATACCAACATATCAAGCAGCCCCCTTTTGTTTGTATGGCTCTAATGGGCACTGTGACTACCAACCAAAGTTTCCGCCACATATGAGTGCATTTTGACTATAATCCTAAATGTCTTTAGATTGTTTCACACCTTTCACATGAGAATATCAGCTCCCCTGCTGTCACTCGTTTCTTCCAGGAGAGAAGGAAGACGCTGCTAAAAATAAACCTTGCAGGCTCTACAGGTTGCTGTGCTGCTGGATGCTGAGAGGCCGCGGGCAGCAGGTCTGGGCGGGGCCTGGATGCTGCTGGGAGGCTCTCTGAGATTTTCTCCATTGATCAGTACGCCGAGGAAGGCGGGCCATGTGACGTCACGGCCGGGCTGCTCGGCTGCGTCAGAGTCCAGCTGAGCGAAGGGAAGAAGGAAACGAGAAATAAAAAGGGGGAAAGCAGGTTCAGAGGGAGCGGACGGAGTGTGTCAGGGCTGTGTCGTGCTCACCGCGGACAGACACACACTGAACAAACACAGACGGACAGACAGACATGGAGAGCTCCACTGAGGAAGACTACAAAGAGAAATTATTATGGAACGTCAAACGAGAGGTAGGCGATGTGTTGACAGCCTGTCGACCCGCACATTTATATTTTTTCCTGTTTTATTTCAACACACTCACGGTTGGAGGCTTGGACGTGTTGCATTAATATTAAGGCTTGTTCTTGCCCGGTTTTTTTTAAACGCAAGTGTACCAAATGAGGATGAATTTATGCACATATAGGCTAAAATCTGCACCTGCTTTCAGTTTTTCAAGTGTAAATATGTCTATTTCCTTTGTCTGGACATTTTAATGATGAGTATATGGCTGTTCCATTCAGCTAAAAATAATGCTAAAGGAATATTCCTGCATTTTACATGCACATGCAATAGGCATTGAGGTAGGTGTTTTGTAATCTGCGGGTCCCTTTAATATTTCTAAGATAAAACAGAGCGTTGGTATACTGTATTATGCGCCGTGCATGTAAGATGTAAGATGTGACATGTGAGATCCAAGTAAGGAGGCTGCAACAAATAATTATTTTCAGTATCAATTAATCTTCTTAATATTATAAGGGTTTATTTCTAAGCCCCCAAAAATTGTGAGAAAGTTGGGGGTAAAGAGACATCTTTAAATTACTCTCTTGTTAAACCGGTTGCCCTAATCCCAAATACATTTCTTTTGTAAAATGACGTAAAAAAGCAAATCCTAAAATTTATGAAGCATAAACCATCAAATGTTTGACAAAAGCACCAAAATGATTTTTCGTTCAGCAAAATATTTTGGGATTACAATTCTTGGATCCCTGAATCCGTCCATGAATAATCCAGCCCTGCAGGCAGACATCCTTGCTTTGAGCGCCTGTCTGAATTGTTCCAGCAGAGCATCCTTTTTCTACACAGGTTGTTTCTCCATTTGTCTCTACTAGCAGTTCAAACAGAGCCACAGGCTTTTTGTTCCTGCTGATGAATGTCTCACGTCTCTCCTGTGAGGAATCATAAATCATTACTCCTTTTAACCTCTCTGCCCACTCCACCGCTGTAATCCTCCTGCCGGGTTTACCCAAAGATCCACAGCCGGAGAGAGATTTCCCTGCTGCTGAAATGTCAGAGTAAATCAGCTGAATGTGGCAAGGTGTGGCTCACTGCCTCAGAGTAAGACTGAGTGTAAATGTGAGCTGGTAGTTCCATCATTTTAATGAAGAGGAAAGGTCACACTAAAAATATCAAGACCAAAATCAACCGGGGAGTCAAATGGGAGAGAGCTGTTGGAGATAGAAAACGCCATATTTAACAAGTGATACCTTTATTATTTATTCATCTTATATTTACTTCAACTAAAAAAATAATAATAATAAATCCCTATTGAGTGGCAAATTCTTCATGCAGAAGAGTCTGCTATCTAGATGTTTCCTCCTGTTCTTGCACTTCAAGCTAACACTAATAACATCTACTGAGCTGGTTTTAGCAAGTCAATACTATTTGTTTCTCCAAGTTAAACCTGTTGCACACCCTTCTCTGTTTCTTTAGGTGCAGTTTGTGTTTGGTGTCTTTTTTTTTCCATTTTTATTATTTTTGTGTTTTTAAATTAATCCACCCACAACTTGAATTTGAAAACTTAATCTTTGGGGAAAAAAAACAAAAAACTGAGCGTTAAACCTCTTTAACATCTGCTTCTTTGTAGATAACCCTGTTGAAACAATTTAATTTGGATTGTTAGTACTGTTGTTGTCAACCAAACATAAGTTGAGTCAGTCATTTAGAAGTCATCTAAAAAGAAAAGAGCAAAAATGTATTCATGTTTCATGATTTGTCAAGTCTGATTTGAACGAGGCTGATTCCAAAGGGCTGCAATACAAAAGACTGCAGTTCCTTAGGTGGCCACTAGAGGCTAGCTCAAGAAGCGAGTGTATCTCCATATTTCATATATTATATTCAACTTTATTGTAAAACATCTTTACATGGTATGGTAAAGGGTTTGAGTATCTCCAGATCATACAATGATTGTCATTTACAATGACCTGTAATAAGGGGCGTGGCCTCTTTGAGTGACAGATGGAAGCTGCTAGACGTCTGCTAGCTGTCATCTCAGCTTCTCCTGTAGTTGATCTTAACCTCTCTGCTATTTTAGTGTTGTTCCATTGGTAGATTTTTTCAGACAAATTGATATGATACCATAAGATACATACATTATGATATTATGACATGTTACATTACATTACTTTTTTTTAGGTTAGCTTACCTTAGGTTATGAAACGATTGATACAATACAGAAAAAGTTCCTGCTGTCTGAAAACAACTCGTATCTGGCTTTTAGCTCATTCAGTGTTTTTCATTCATTAATTCATGGTGGTCAGGTCAGGATTGTTGTCAGCTTCTTTTGTGCAGAGAGAGACCAACTGGGTTCTGGTGACCTGCTGCTCACTCTCAGACTTTGTCATACAAACTTAATGAAACAGACCAGAGATTATAGAGATACTAACAGCCGCAGAGCTGAGACTTAGTCAGAAGTTTCAGAAAATGTTTGTAGGATTTTTCCAAACTGCCTTTCAAAGCAGCCTGAGTACATATCCATCTGTCTCTTTTAAGTTAACAGCCAGCATTTTATTAAAAAAAGACCTGCAGGTTGCTCACATCTCTGCAAGGATTCAGTTTGAATATCCGGGCTCATCACCCATAGGTACAGGTCTTAAATAATTTACTCATCCTGACGTCTGTAAGGCAGAAAATAGCTGGAGTTATCTGCAGGAAGCAGAGATCTGTGTCTTCTAAAAAAAACGGAGACCATTGGGGAAATAAGTGAAACATTGCATTCTTGGGTCACTGTGTTGTTGTGTGTTGATACTCTGAGCTGAATCTTCAAACTTACCTCCGGTCGTTGTGCTGTGTTTGCACCAGTTCTTTCTGCTTCCTGGTTGTTATCATTTCAAAATGGTTCGCTGTGTACCATGTTAGCTCTCTGAAGTCTTTAGTTTGACCTCACAGTTTAGAGCTAACTGATTTGGGGAAAACATGATCATGATTGGATTTTTGACATTGAACAGTATTACTATTTATAACTACAATGGTGCTAGTTTGAAGAGTTTTCTGACAATGACAGAAGCTTGAAGAAACCAGAGTGTGATTAAAAACAACTAAGTTTATTAACATACACTCAAGTTGTCTAACACACATTTTTAAAATATTCCATCCAACTCATCACTCATATTCCACTCTCAGTGTGTGGTGGTGTCTGTATCTGCACAGACTCAGGCTTCTCATCATGTTGCTGTGTTTGGGACATTTGTGTGTGTCGGTCATTGTGCAGAGGTGTATAGAGCTCAGATAGCTGCTGTACAGAGCAAACACTCCACAGGTCGGGGTTAAAAGAAAACGTTCAGGCTGTCTCTCTTGTGTGTTCTCTTAATGAGATGGCAAAAGGACAAATGTCCGTATTTGCCAACAAGTGATTTTGAACGGTCTGTCTGACAGAGGGCGGTGCAGACACACACACAGGGGGGGGGGGGTGTCACAGGATTTCCAATATGGCGGCTGCTGCGGATGAGCCTCCGGAGCCCCCTGCAGGAACAGATGGCTGGCGTCCATTAATATTTACGATCTAAGGTTAAAATACACGCTATGGAAAAGTTTCAAAGTATTGGACATTTTTACCACCTGACTTCAGAACTATATGGATCTTCTGTTTGCAAATGTGCTATGTTGTTAAAAAAATACAGCATTTTGCCCGCAATGTTCAGATATCAGGCAGTTATTTAACTCTGTGTGTGTGTGTGTGTGTGTGTCCAGTTTCTAAACTCCTGGTGTGGTTGTCCTCAGTTCAGCCATGAGAAGCTCCTTGATGTTTTTTTGGTCATTACACATCAAACTGGGCTGTGAGAGACTCAGAGACCGGTCATGTTTGTCCATGCTCAGAGCTCTCTCTCTCTTTAAGCTGCTCTGTGCTCGCTCAGTGCTGCTTGGCAACTGAAAGCTTCAGCGGCGCACGCAGAAGCTAAATTGCATCAGTTGGTGATTAATATCAGAGCAGCGAGGCGCTCCGTCAGGTTGTTCTCAAACAAAAAGAGAAAAGAGCCTCTCTCTGTGTTCACCTGTTGTATCCAACATCCTTTTCTTTTAGAGAGATATACAGTTAGTGCTTAAAGGAAGGGTTTCCTTTGTTAATGTTGAAATTGAATACTTATTGATGCTTTACTAATCTATAATATGGCCTCTGTATCCGGGGCTCCTGCTGTGAGGCTGAACTAAACCAACCCCCACAAGCTGCCATTTTTAAGGACTTGAGGGGAAAACAAGCCGGTCTTGCAGAAATACAACTGTTATTTTTTACAAAGGTACTTTTCTCCTGATCAATCATATTTAGTAGTGTGTGGCTCTTTTAAAATCTTATACTATATATTCAATTCCATGCATATTCCAAAATGAACTGTCAACAAATGCCCAAAATCAACATCTTAAATTAATTCTTAAAATCCCAGAATAAATCTAACATGTAAAAAAAAATAAAAATCTTTAACTCACTATTTAGATTGGGAGTAACATCAGCATTTTCATCACTTTTACTGCTCTGCCTCTAGGCAAAATCTGCTGTTGTTATAAGTTGGCTGGGTAACTGGGTTTGCTAACTGGTTTAGATAATTGATTCTACCTGATCTAAAAGGCCTCTACGTTTTTCTAAAAAGCTCCACAACTGAAATGGTAGTAGATATTGGTGATGCTTTTTTACACAATGGCGCACTAAACACTGAAGCTACATTGTCTGCGACATGGCAACCTTGGTGTGCATCAACTCGAGGAGGGGGCGGTGGGAGACAACTCTCTCTCATGTTTTGAATTTGGACTGCGGTACCAATTTTAAACACTATGTGTCAGAGTTATAAATTGTTTTAATTGTGGTGTCTTTGTGTGTTCTGGTGTGAAGCATCCTTGTAATATTAAAAATGTAATTTTTGTAAATTATATAAATTCAAGCTATTATGATTAGTATAGTACCTTCATCTAAAGGTTTTAAAGACTGCATTGATAAGTGTCCCTGAGAATCTTCTTACTCAATGTTTTTACCCCAAAAGGCAGC